AATACGTTGGGGGCATGTAGTTAATGAGGATGCTACGGAAGCGTTTAACGTTATTTAGATATTCCGATGCATCTACTAATTGCTGACCCCAACAACCTTGTACAAAAACCTACATTTATGGCTATACGTAAGTTTGCTATACGTATTAAAGGATGATATAAACTAGAAAATTGAAATCAATTAAAATGCTGCACTTTTGGGTGTCGTTGTATCCTTTAAACTTCCCTCCAAAATTTCACAGATTAATGTATATGTCTGTGCGCGCGCGCTTGTGTGTATTTTCATATTTTCCATATTTTTATTCTTCACTTTTGCATATAATTAAGCTTGGAAAAAAAGTTGAAGTCGGAGGGTAATTGATGAAAATTGAGTATTTAATTATTTTTTAGGTGGTATTTTATTTATTAAACAAATTTGAAATTCAATTTCTATTAGGATTTTAAATTTTTGCTATTGTCTAGATGTTAGCTGTTAATAAAGATTATTAATTAGTCAAAGTTGGCCTTTTATTAAAATTAGTCGTTAATTAGGTTTTTAGTTGTTATAAATAAGAGTTGTAGCCTTAATGGCAAAAAAGTAGCTTTCGAATTGAAATAAAATATGAATTGTTGAGATTTTCTACAATTTCTTAAATTCTCAGTATTTGATATTTAAAATCGGTGAGTCCAATTTCTTTATCCTCGTGTGCAAATTAAAGAGTTTTTGATGTCTAGAGTTTTCATATTATTAGGAATCGACAGAATCTAGAAGGTTATTGCACTATGGTATTCATTTGAAATCAATGAAACTTCAATACAATGATCGTTTATTTATTTGTCTATGCTTCTACCATCGTATAAAGAGCCTAACACTAATGTCTCTAATAGGTGGTCTAAAGCGATTAAGATTGATTTAAGAATCACTCAACAGAGTTCTTGGATCTTGAGATGCGTTCGAAGAGTTTTCTTCTATATGCCTTGCAAACTTAGCAAGTAAAACACTGTCGTTATGATGAAAAACAAAATGCAAGAATCGATGATGAATCTTCGTCAATCGGATGAGAATGATGAAAATTGAGTTCTTAATTATTTTTAATTACTATTTTTTATTAAATAAATTCGAAATTCAATTTAAATTAGTAATTTTAATTTTTGTTATTATTTAGATGTTAGTTTTTAATTAGGATTAGTAGTTAATTAAAGTTAGAGTTAGAACATTTCCAAAAGATTCCTTAAAAATGAAATAATCTCTATTTTAAAGAGTCGATTTTTAAAATTATGTTCCAAGAGACTCGTCAAATTAATATTTTAAAATAGAGGGAGCCAACTGCATTCTCTATAATTAAATGCATTCAAAATATTTCAATTTTCAATACTCCAGATAGTGACACAATTAAATAGTATATACAAATAAAATGGAAGTAAATAATATAATAATTTGGAGGAAATGGAGTAAAAATAAAAGATAGAGAAAAATAATAAATACATATTGGGAGTAGTAAAATTAAGTGTCAAAATTAAAAATGTTATTGGAGTAATTAAAAATCAAAATATGCCCCCTTTAAAATAGAAAGTCTCTTAAAGACGTTCCCAGTCATTTAGTAGGATTAGTTGTTATAAGTAAGGGTTGTGGCATTAGTGGCAAAAAAAGTGATTTTTGAATTGAAATAAAATATTATTTGTCGAGATTTCCTCCAATTTCTTAAATTCTTGAATTTAATAATTAAAATTAATGAGTCGTATTTGTACAAGAATCAAAGAGCTTTTGATATGTAAATTTCTGGTATTCTTAAGAATTAACAGAACCTAAATTCGATGGCGTGCTGGTTTATATTATTTATATCACTTCCTGTCACCCTATATCAATAATTCTGAATCCGTTGTCAAGGGCTCGATAACGGCTAAAGCTAATAGTGCCTTTGGGCCGCTAAAGTTATACATTTGGAAAGGGGTTGCATATCTTGCAACGAATTTAATGATGAAAACAGGATTGAGCGGTGAAAAATGATTTAAATGTGGTGATAAAGTCACTTTCTTGTGGGTCAAAGTTGGCAAGAATTGGAAGAGGATAAAACACATTTTTCTTCTTGGTTAAGTATTTGAATTAGTTAGTGGTGGCAATCAAGTCGAGCCAGCTCGTTGCCACCGAGCCACGAGCCGCTCGGACTTGTCAAAAGACGAGCCCAGCACGAGCCGAGTGGCGGGCTCGCTAGGCGTTCGGCTCGTTTTTTCACGAGCTCGTGGGCTCTTGAAAAAACACTAAAAAAAATAATAATAAAAAGCTAAAAAAAGCAAAAAAAAAAAGCTCGCCCACGAGCAAACGAGCCACAAGTTGGCTCGACTCGATCCATTGACATCTCTAGAATTAGTCAACAAAAACATCTCCACAAATTGACAACCATGAGCCAAAACCACCGTCTTTGTACATGCCCATATACTTCAACATATTATCCCATTTTCTTGACTAAATCATAGAGAAAGAGAGAGTAATTTTAGAGAGAAAAATTAGTGAGGTTTCTCCTAAATATTGTCTTACAGAGAGTGAGTAATTTCTCCTAGTATAAGAGAGGGTATTGTCAATAGTGCTCTTCTTATTAAAGAGAGAAATTCTTGTAATCATTTTCCTATAGTGAAATCCTTCTACAATTTGCCCGTAATTTGTTCACGTAAAATTTTGGTATTCATTATTTTTCGTTTTTACTTCAGTTGTAATTGTGTGCCCCGTACCACAATGACCTAACATTAAATAGTCGATTCTAAAGTTGTTACTTTTTAGATATACATAATTACCATATCTTGATTTCTTAAACTCGATAAATGGGAATAACATTAGAAATGATAATATACAATAAATACTGAACACATATTTTAGTACATAGTATTGGACATGATTGAATAAAATAAAATAAAATTATAACTTCTTTCTCTTCCTTAATATTATAGTCGAGAGCCCGTATCCCTATAGAATCTTTGTGGTTGACGAGACTTCAAATGGAAATAGTTCTGAATCCAGGTTGTTTTATGAAAAGAAAATTTTGTTCCGACTGAGAATGTTTCTAGCTACCTAGGGGAAAAATAAGATCAAAAAACATCATTAAGAATACACACTGTTTTTCCTTGTCTTGATCTTGTATAAATTGCTTCAATTTGATGTAAATCATTGTTCTATTCTTGGTACTATTGATTCAGCATCAGGTCCAGGATAAGAACCTTTGGATCGTGACCCTAATCGAGATGATCCAACACTATTTGACTCTTTCGACTTCTTTCTCCTTGATTTTTTAGGAATGTCTGGAAGGTTTCCTGATGTTGACTCGCCTTCTTGGCGTTGCCGATTTGATTTAATGCTATCAGACGAGTCCTTCGAATTGTGTCGTCTCGAGTGTCTTGATCTGTTTGATCCATCTTTTTTCATTGGCGAATCATTTGGACCGTCTATTGAAGCATGGCGCCTCGAAGATTTTGGCAATTCGGGTAGGTCTCTGCTTCCTTTTTTCGAATCTACAAAAGAAAAAATAAATAAATATGTTGAACTATACAGTACTAAACATGAATCAACAATTTTCCAATCATGTGTATAGTATCTAAATCGTTGGAGTTTCCAATCAGGTTGTCATACATGACAACTTCGTACACAATCTTAAACACGATAGTCTTATTCTTGTTCAGCACAAAATCTAAGAAAACATGACATTAATGAATCAAAAATTTCATTGCATAGAAAATAAACAGAACCAAACCTTCAGAAACCCATTTAACTTCAGGGTTCTCTTTAGAGCCTCCAGGTTTCCCTAAAGGTGCTGATTGGAATCCTCCTGTTGATTCTTTGAATTCTTTCATCTGCAAACATAATCAGCACATAATGATCCAATTAAAATCATTAATAATTGTTAATATTTCATTAAATATATGGGATTATTGATTAATTATTTTAACAAAAAAAAAAACTGATGGGAAATTATACCCAGCTTGGTGAATTATCAATTGAAGCAGAAGGGCCATCCCATCCTATATGAGCCACATGTTTTACATCTGTGGGATTCCCAATTTGCATTTCTGCTTCTTTCTCTTCCTCTGCATTAATTACAATTGGAAAATAAATTGTACATATGGATCCCCATGGCAAGATTTCTCGATTCGAAAAATCAAGTTAAGAGGTTTAAAACACAGATACTCACCGAATATCTGAGAAATGTATCGAAGACCTTTCAAAAGACCCTTCATCTTCGTTCCCATTTTTTATTATCTCCTTCTAATTCAAGAAACCTGCATGGATTGATCATGGATGAAATGAAATTAGGAGGCCATGACAAAACCAACCCTATGGAAGAAAAATGAGTGCCACTCCATGGATTTATTTATGCACCAATCCTTATTATATGAAGTTGAAGAGTGATTCAAAATAATTGTAAAATAACTTTTACATATATAAACCTCCTTGTTGGATTCCTTATTTTCGTATTTGTGTATCCAAATGATGTGGAAAAAAGTTACAAATATCCCAACCAAAATTGCTGTGAAAACAAAACCTTTCAATTCAATGGCATTGCTTTGTTGGTTCCTAATGGCTGTTAGGGAAAACCAGAAGCACAGAGAAAATTTAGGTGCGAAAAAATAAAATTTATTAATAAATACGGTTCTAAAAAATGACCCAGTTTTTATTTACTTGGAAAAGTTATTACAAGCATGCTTGATTATAGCATAGTTAACTCTATCCCATTTATATAAGTTGATTTTCCTTATTTTTTTGTTCAAAATTATAGTCTTGTTTCTTTATTAAGAGTATATTTGTGTTTGTTCGTTTACTAATATATCATTATTTAATTTGCCCAATTATAACCAATTTTTCCCACTTAATCATGAAATTGTATAGATTTTAATTTACCCAATCCTTGGAATTGTCCAAATACATACACATAGAAGGGAGTAAAGTTGTTGATAATTAAATAACGGTAAACTAGGAAATTTTTTTACAAAAATTGTTTTTTCAGTGCCATTAAATAAAATTTCTTAATCCGTATGAAAAACAAAATTAACCTATATAAATGTGACGGAAGAAGTATTTTATTTTTCCTTTTTTTGTGGTTTTTTAACATAAAGTATAATTTATATCTTTTGTATTTTTCCATTGAGAAGAAACATAATAATGGCTAATTGTTCTTGGTTTCTTATATATAAACAATTAACTGTCTTGAGGTACAGAAAATTGAATCTGCCAAATGGAAGGTAAGAAAAGGCCATTGCTGCTGAACCCAAAATATTTTTCTACCAACACTAAATTATATAAGTATAAGAATCGTTTGAATATAAGATCCATTGCAATTTGGGATGGTAAAATGCCTTGCTCCCATTCCCTGGAGAATCAGACGGAGACGAGGAACATAGTAGACAAGCGGGGCTTGGCGAAACAAGTATCACAAACTCAAGATTCCACATTAAATTAAAAAAACTCAAAATTTAAACTTTCCTTCCCAAATATATAGCTCAGCTTCCTTGAATAGAAAACCTTATAGACTGTAGATTCCCATATCGTAAAACAAGTATGCAGTGCATTATTACATGGAAAATGTTTTTTGTACATAACTATTTACGTAATGGATTACATATAGCATGGCATGGCACGGATATTAGTATTAATGAACTCCAAGAACTATTGTTGAAAGCATTATAAAACCAAAATTTAAGATGCTTTAATATCATCCATTCCAACGCTAGCCTGCCAGGAGAAAACAGCAAATTACTGAACTTGGATATAAATATATGAATAGAAACTTGAGATTCTTCTAGCTAGAGAACTTACCAAAAACTTGTGGTTCTCCTCAAGAAATGGTGAAAAAGTGGTGCAAAATTTTTCGATATCACTATTAACATCGCCTGTGCCACCTATGACATACATAAACTTCTTCCTATCAGGAGCAAGTTTCATCGCAACCTGTAATTGCAATTTGGGATAAGCATTTGAAAAGATATACCCGAACTTAAAATGAAGAATCTTAATAGATCATTTCTTATTAAACATTATGCTAATAGATAAAGATCAGAAAACGTGTGTTAACATTCCAATTTCTGTTTCCATGCCACGCCTTCAGGAGAATCGAAGCTCTGGTGACTACTTTTCCTTTTGGGCAAGGGATGGGTGTGAAATATGTCGTGAATACTTGCTATATGAAAAATTCAACCGAGGGGAAGGATGATAAATTTGTAAGCCACGAGAAAATATGAATGACACTATTAAAAACACGTGAATAAGAAAGATGCTCTTATTGCTCCTGCTCTTTGGTCTATGAGTTGCGGAATGAACATTGGAGACCTCCTGGGCCTTCTATGTCATTTCAAATTATACAGTGGTTAAGACTTATAAAATGGGTAATCAGCACATAACGTCCTTAACTTTCACTATTCATGTGGGAAACGTCCTTACCTTTCATTTCTTGATATTTTCACTTTTTGTTGCGCAAAATGTCATTTTCATCAATTAAAAACTGTGAAATGACGAATATACCATTCCGTTTAAATAAAACAAAAAGAAAAAAAAACTAATTGCAACCATAATCCCAATTTTTTTTAAAAAAGTGTAAACGAGTCCCAAATAAATTAATTAATAGAGTAATTAACACATAATGTGTCCTACATTTCACAATTATTGTAAAAATGTCCCTACATTTCATTTTTATTTTTTGCATTTTCACCCTTAATCACACCTTTAATTGCACAAACCATCATTTATATCCATTTTCATTCAATTTCTTAATAAAAATAAAATATGAAATGACGAATATACCTTCATATTTTTTATATAAAAAAATAAAGAACCTATTGCAACCATAGTTCAATTTTTTTTAAAAAGTGCAAACGAGTTTCAAATAAATTATTAAAAAATTAGAATTTTTTTTTTTTTTTAGTGAAAACGACTAAACGAGTCCCAAATAAATTATGAAAAAAACTAGAAATTAAAAAAGTGAAAACGAGTCACAAATAAATTATTAAAAAATTAGAAATTAAACAAAATAATTTTTTTAAATTTAAATAAGAGGATATATTCGTCATTTCACGATTTCTTATTAAGAAATTTTATGAAAATGAATATAAATGATGATTTGAGCAATGAAATGTGTAATTAAGAGTGAAAATACAAAAAAATGAAAGGTATGGACGATTTTCACAATATCAGTAAAAGGTAGGGACATTATGTTAATTACCCTTTTAATAGTTTCTTAGGGGCTCATTTGCACTTTTTTTTAAAAAAAATGGAACTATGATTGCAATTAGTTCTTTCTTTTTTCTTTTGTTTTATTTAAATAGAGTGGTATATTCGTCATTCAACAACTTTTAATTAAGAAAATTGATGAAAATGACATTTTGCGCAACAAAATGTGGAAATAAGAGGGAAAATGCCAAAAAAAAAAAAAAAAAGGTAAGGACGTTAATTGCCCTTTATAAAATTATCAAGTTCTATCTATTACGGACTTGTGGAGGAAGCTTTGATGTTGTGGCTAACTAACCAAACCTTTTTACACTAAGATTAGTTGAGCTATTGAGCCCTCAATTTCAAAACATCTCTAGGTATAAATGACGATATCACTTAATTATCGATTACCAATTTAAGTGGCCTCTATAAAGAAAATCTTGACGTGACTCGTTGAAAGGGAAAAAAAATTCAAGGAATAAACATTATAATTTAAAACATCATATCAAATAAAAGCATTTTACCGTAAAGCTTGACCTGGCCAGCCAACCATGCCATTTTTTCAGCGTCTTGCCATAAGAATCACTGCAAGCTTGAGACATAGACCAATCCTGATGCTCCAATATATTCCAAAACAATCCCACCAAGAAATCCATAGCCCTAAGGAGTTCGTGCACAAGTTGAGTCAAGTCATACTAGAATACGTCCTTCAGAAACACACAAACTTATGCTAGTGAATATCACAATGTTTGTGTATGTATAACATGTATACTCTTTATTCACATAAGCATGTTAGAGTTGGAATTTTGGAGTTACTAAAGTTGTGAAGCCTTGTCAAATTTTAGTTTCCTTATTTTCCTTGTGAACACTTCAAGTTTACATCATAATTTTGAAAAAAAGCAAAGGATCATGCCAATAAATGAGGATATCTTTCTAAGCAAACTCAACAGAAGCACTTACAGATTTGTCACCCAAAAAGGACTCCATGAAGAATTTTTCCATGTGGTTTTGGAAGAGATGATCCTTAATATTTACATTTTTCATGCATTCAGCGAATGGCAGCTAGTAGGCATTATACACCAGTGTACTGGAACAGAAATAAAAAACAAAGCTAATAAAAAGCTATACCAGGAAGCAAATAGAAGGTGAAAGCTGTAAATTTTTACTTACCTCGTCAACCACAAAAGACCATCAGCGCAACTGGATGAGCCTTTAGCTGTCTTAGGTTCAAGCTCTTCTTGTACCATGCTGTACAAGTGGTTATATTGTGTAGGGTTGGACAAGTACTTGTTTTCTAACCTCTATAGTAAATATGAGAAGATATAAGTTGGTTAAATAATAAAGCCAAAAAAAATAGAGAGACGAGAATGGGTTAACTAACAGTCGACACACATTGGTTTGTTAATTTAAGTGAAAGAAGTTAAAGAACTAACACACTATTTTAAGGAAGAGATCACCAAGATAGGTCAATCCATATGCATAAAGAAGAATAGAACATATTCAGGACTCTACCAGCTACAGGAGCAGCCTATCCTAGAGCAGAGTCTAATAACTGATACTTCGACCACCCTGATTTCTATCTCAGGGATGCAAAAAGTAAAGCGGGAAATCAACCAAATCCCAACATTTGGAAAAGGTATATCTAAATAACACTAAATTCAAAATTTTATTAGAAAATCTCATATGTGAACACATTCATCAATTACAAGCTAATGAAACAAAAAGAACAAGCTCTATCTCTGTAAGAATGGAGGGATAGAGTCTCACGGTTATATTGCCACCAACATTAGATTTGGCAAGTGCCATTGCAGCTCCAAACTTGTCTGCATTGGGTGCATTATAAAAATGAGCCAAACAACATAAGGCAGGTCAGAAGGACCACAACTATGCATTTTAACTGGAAGAGGCATTATTATAACACCCAAGTCTCAAACTAATGAAATTACCTACACATCTGAGAAAAACAAAAGACTGAAACAGAACCTTTATCCAAACATGCAAATAAAAAATATCAAGTTTAGCAGATGCATTACTAACACATAACCTGGTATTTATTAGTATAAACAAAATAACATCCATTGGTCGTTCCGTCACCCAAACAGGTATTTTTTGAATTTTGAAAAGTGCTTGCAGTTGAGAGTAGAGAATGCAATTTTTCTTGTACCCACTACCATTCATGGAATGATCATCAGTTTATTGAAGCAGGTACTTTGAAACTTAATTCCATGCATACAAGAATAAAAGAACTTCAGATAATGACATCCTTAAAAATCAAGCTGTAAGAAGACATGGATCTTCATCTCAAGCACTGATGAGTAATGGCTAACTATAGGCACTGTCCAAACAATTATATCTAGCATGAAGCATTACTGGGTCAAATCATTGTCCAAGCGATAATTTGAACTTTAAATTATAATTAATGGCCTGTTTAATTGTTTAATTAAACAAATGAAACTCCAAATCAGAAATGGAATCTGATAAATGAAAGTACGTATATACCTATAACAGGTAAAATTTGCTTGCAAACATCCAGGAAAGGTTTGGTGAGCATCACTCCTTTTTTTGACTTGACATGCTTCATTCCTTCCAGAGCCGGAGTGAAGCCTGTCCCCTCCATTTTTCTGGCTTAACTACACTCAAAAAAATTTCCAAAAAGAAAATCAATACTTGCAGAAGTAATAAATGTGGGGACAATGGAACCTTCCAGTATGAGCCACACGGAATTTATCTTATGCCGAATCCTAAATCCTCTTATGAAACCAGTATAATAAAGTAAAATTAAAATATCAGCCCAAAAATACCTTCTCTTAAAAGAAAGAGGGAGAGGGGGGGGGACAAAACCGGAACAGGAACAAGATTGCAAGTAAAGATATATAATAACAAAAGGAGATCATATCAAAGCTCGATTGGACCATATAAAACACTCTCGATCACAGTGAATCCCAAAAAACTCAGTTGATATATAGGAGATATATTCATATAAGAATAATAAATCCACAATGCATCGCCTAGTATATTTCACATAAGAAGAACAGATGGACACTGCATCGCCTAAATTATGTAATATTCAGTGAATTTGATCCAGTCAATTGTCTAGATCATTGCATTCATCTATGAATAGAATCACTAAAAGTGTAGACAGAATAGCAAGAAAATTACAGCGAAAATATGATTAGTCAATCAGTTGAACATAAATTAAAACCATAAAAACAACAAAAATGAAAGATGAATACACTGAATCAGAACATCACGTGTATAAATTTAACTCAAATCCATTAATATAGAGAATATATTGACAAGAGCAAATAACGGCTAAATTATACACTATTCATTGAAGCTGATCAACTCACTTCTCTTGATCATTGCATTCATCTAAGAATCTAATCATACAAAATGCATACGTAGTAACAGGAAAATTGAGCATAACTATGATTACTCAATCGATTCAATCCAAACTAAGTAAAAAAAAAAACTATAAAAATGAAATATCCACAGATTGAATCAGAAAATCACGTGTATGCATATCATTTGGTAGCAAAAATGCGTGAAAGATCTGGACTTGCCCGAATTATTGTCCGATCTCCCTGTGTGCTGACAGATGAAGAGCTGCAAAGATAGAGCAGTGAATGAGTCTTTTATGATGGACACCAAGCCCTTTTGGCGGTTCCATTTGCTTTTAGGTACCGCTACTTCGTAAAAAAAGAATAAATTCTAGTCCTCTTTTTACTATTCTAATTACGATTCTAAAGTAGAAATTACAACCACGCCTACTTTTCAACTTATCAAATCAAAACAAAGTATTAAGGTTTTTTATTACAAAAAGCAGGACAGCAAACCCTAATTTATTCTTTTAGCCATTCCTCAAATCACAATCACACTACCACAATTCTCGCGCCCCTGACCGCCGTCGTCACTGCTTCGCCTCCGATGACACCGCCCGCCGCCGCCATGTAAAAAAGGGGAGAAATTAGGGTTTGGGTGAGGATTTGGAGGCGGAGGCCTCTAGTGCAATGTGTGAAATTGCAGGCACTGCTTTGAATTTCAGATTGGGGTCAATTTGCAAATGACGGTTGTTGGTGAGGAAATAGTGGGAAATACCCGGTTGACCCGGTCACTTTTTCAAAATAGCCGTTGACCGTGTAAAAAATAAAAAAAAAAAGGAAAAACTAAAAAAAACTTGAAAGTTTAGCATTTTCCCATTTTCACCCTCACACGTAACTTGGAAGAAAATTGGGAATAAAAAAAAAAAAAAATGAGAATATGTACCAAACAGGCCCCGAGACTTTATCCGATATGTAACTGTACCCATAATTATGTGACATTTGTGATCTTGACATGTTATTAGGATGTCATAAATGTGACCACTTGATTTTTAAAACATTTTTAAAAGTTTTTTTATTTTAAAAAGTGTATTTTGAAACCATTATAATTATTTATTGGGGATAATTAGCACATAACGTTCCCACCTTTTATTGTTATTGTGGAAAAAGTCCGTACCTTTCATTTTTTTGGCATTTCATCCTTTTTCATTGTGCAAAACGTCTTTTTAACATATTTTCTCAATTAAAAATTATGAAATGATGAATATACTCATCTCTTTAAATAAAATAAACAGAAAAAGAAAAATATTAATTGCAACCACAGTCCCAATTTTTTAAAAAAAACAAATAAGTCATAAATAAATTATTAAAAGGGTAATTAGTATATAATATCTCTATCTTTCACCGTTATTGTGAAAAACGTCTCTATCTTTCTTTCTTTCTTTCTTTCTTTTTTTGCATTTTCATCATTAATTACACATTTGATTACTCAAGCCATCATTTCTATCTATTTTCATCAAATTTCTCAATAAAAAGTTTTGAAATGACAAATATACTCTCCTATTTAAATAAAAAGCTAAATAATTAATTGAAAAGTGTATATCCGTCATTTCATAGCTTTTAATTGATAAAATATAAAAATGATAATTTCCCCAATAGGTGAAAATGCCAAAAATAAAAGGTATAGACATTTAGGCTGTGTGTGGGAACACTTTTTCAAACCAATTAAAATCATTTTTATAGCCGTTAACAGCAAACCAATAGTAATAATTGATTGCTCCACTCACAACTGGGGCCCAGAAATTGACAGCAATGGTCCAATTTTTACATTGCAACGGTTGGAATTACAATTAAAATTCTAACCAAACACACGCTTAGTGCTAATTGCCCCAAAAAAAAGTGACACTGTTAAAAAAAGTAACAAAAACTTAAAAATGTGACATAAATTAAAAAATGTGACAAAATCTAAAAAAGTAATAAAACATAGATCAAACCTTAAAATATATCATTTTATGCAAATTCTATGCGAACAACAACTGAAAATACCCAACAACTATTCGCATAAAATTGATTCAATGCAAACACAATCATTGTAGACATAAATATAGCCCTTGTTGGAGTCCAATTTTTAGGCAAAAAATGTATTTTTGAATAATGATTTGTTGGAGATTGTATGGTTAAAAAGTAAAGAAAATTCTTCGATTTATGTGTAATATCTTTTTTTAAAAGAATGTATGGTTGAAAATAAGTTTTGAAAAAATGGGGACCAAACATGGGCATAATATGAAAATATCTTTTTATAAAAGAATGTATGGTTGAAAATAAGTTTTGAAAAAATGGGGACCAAACATGGGCATAATATGAAATGAAACATTGATGTTTAAACTATATGTTGGCTTGTTATAAAGAGCTGCATATCAAGCAAATGAAAAAAAAATGTTAATCCTCTTTATCGATGAGGAATTTTTTTTCTCGACACCACAATGAAGTGACATATAGGGGGTATTTGACACTCATTTTAGTAGAAAAATGTATTTTTGAATAGCGATTGATGAAAGAATGTGTGGTTAAAAAGTAAGAAGAATTTTTAGGTTTATGTGTAATATTATTTTATTGATAGAATGTGTGGTTGAAATGAAGATAGAGAAAACGAATGAGAATGAGAATGAGAAAAAAATGGGTGCCAAACGGGGGCATAATAAATGCACTTCAATAGAGAGCAAAATGTTGCAAATTTATCTTATCGGTAAAGATTGTAAACATTTATGATAGATGCAACTCATTGACGTACAATGGACTAGCTTCACACAGAGATAATCATCAATAGTAAACATTTTCTATTCTTCCCCGCAAATTTTGACGAAAAGATAAATTACAAGTCATGACTTTATCAATCAGCAAAGAGCTAAGAATTCATCAACCCATGACATAAAACCGGCAAGCTTAGACACAGAATTGACATGACCAATTGATCCAAAAATCAATCCATCTTCAAATTCTAGTAAATTCTTCCCACTAAATCTCGGTCCCTCCTTGAGCCATCAAAAGATAGCGACAACTTGGGATCCTTTAGCCACAAGTCCAACATCAGAGACTCAAACAGCTGAAGAAATGAAATACCCAAACCCTTAAACAAATCCGTGAGTGAATCTTGCCTCAAACGAATTTTAAAATAAAGAAGCACACGAAAACTAATTTCTTATTCTCATTTTCAGTCTTCTTACCCTCCATGTCTCCAATAGATCAACACAAACTGACCCAAAATTTAGAAAACAAACAAAGACAAACGAGATTGCAAGGGAGAGAAGAAGAATGAGTCAGAGAAGCAAAATGGAGATATGGTGATGGGAGTTTTGGCCGAATTTATGGGTTCTGATTTGAGGTTTCCTAAGGTATTGGGGTTTGAGGGGGGGGGGGGGGGGGGG